CCTGGCGGCGCGGAGCAACCCCGGCCTCGGGAAGGCGGGGGGGCACCGGGCCTGCTCCGGCCTCTGTCGTTCAGGGATGAGTTTTGAGACGCACTAAACGAGCTGTCAGCAAGCTCTAAACTTGTGCTTTAAAAGAACAGTGCAACATACAGAGCAGAACATTTTCCAAAAGGTGGCATTCTTGCTAAAATAAATCTGTTTATCACAACATCAGCTCCCAAACCAAACTAGGAGTGCTTATGAAGTGACACTGATGGCCGTGAAAATGCAAAAATTACAGTAAGAAGTATAAGCAGTGCATTTACAACCTTGCTTTCTCTTTTGCTAAGTTTTCCCAGCAAGAACAAAACTGATTCTCGGGGCAGGAGGCAAAAGGAGAAGTGCAGGCCTGCTGCCTCGTAAACAGAGCCCTTGTCCCAAACCTCCCGGGCCCAGGAATGCGCCCGGCCCTGAGCTCAGACTATACACTAGGAAGCAGAATAATCAAAGACAAATTTTTAGTTTTAAAGCTCATTTTATTACAATTTGGTACAAAAGGGTCAAAATGTTCGAACAGCTCCCTGCTCCCCAGTACGGTTTGGCATCATGTCATATGCAATGGAGTAAAGTTTGGATTGAAAATACATAGCGGCATAAAGAGTGCATTTCCTGATTTTTTTTTTAAGGCATTGTAGGCCTAATTTAAGAAAATCAAAATTGTCTAGTAATATTGTTAAACAAAGGAATTTCTAAGTTGATAAAATGATTATAATTTATCAGCAGCCATTCCAAAGACATGCTGTAGTAAAACTTTGAACAAGGTACAAAATATATACACACTGTATCATCTTAAGATGCCTTTGGCATTCAAAAAAGTTAACTGTAATACAGAGTCTAAAGCTCAAAACTACAAAAGGTGGCTCTTCTACAACGTTTTTTTTACAATGCCTACAAAGCTAGCTCTTCTGACTATATGCATCATATACAATGCTCTGCCGCATATACCGCTTCCACAACAGCACACAAAAATACTTTAAGCAGGAAATCCACATAAATAATGCTTTAGTTGTAACAAAGTAGGTGACCAACAATTTATAATAAGTACCTTTACGGCAGAAACGTATCTCGATGTAACCAGCACATACAGTCTGAAAGACAAAAAGGGACTCAGATCCTCTCCGCTAAGGCCACAAGCACCTTGTGTTATGAAGAGCACCAAGGCAACACGGACAGAAACACGTAAGAGGTAGTGTGCCATCTGTTAAGATGTGTGTGTCCACCCAGGACTATAATACAACTTTGCGCTAAAGAAGATGTATTGTACTGTGGCATAATTCACGTTTCAAACACAAGCTATTGCACATTTCGGAGCCCTAGCCAGTACTGCTCCGCAGGACTGCGTGTCTCCAGCTCTCCTCGGGTGTTGCTTGCAGTGCTCTTGCGTTACTACAACATCAGAGGTCCTGAAGACTTCCGTGGGCAGATATTTAATTCTCAGTTCCAGGAAATTATACAAGAAAGCACCAACCAATATAAAAAAAATTAAATACTTCATCGAAGTTGTTGAAGTCTTTTTTGTTGTTTTTGTTTGTTTGTTTCTTTATATTTTTAAATGCCATTTCTCTGTAGGAGGAAGTCTTTTACTTCCTGAGGTTCTTTAACCTATTCTGTTTGAAATAATTCTTCAGGTTCATAGCGGTGATGGTGTCTGTAATGTTCAATCGATGCAACAACTCCACAGTGATGTAAAAACCAGCATAGGAGCCTTAAAGGAAGCACACTGAGCCACTTTCTACGAAGTGCTGTTGCCCTGGTTTGAGATGAGAGAGCAGGTGAATCTGAACGACCGGGAGCTGACTAGTGTCCTGAGCGTGAAAAGAGAACTGCGTCTTGTGCCAGCTGCCGTCTTGGATCTGCAACACAGGCAGAACAGCAACTTGGTGTCAGAGATGAACCTCAAAACACAAACTGAAACCGTCCTAAAGGAGCCAGAGGGGTACACTGAAACATTACTCAGGTACAAAATAAGCCCCAAACAAGAGTGGGGAGGTGGGGGCTTCAGCAGCCACACCTACGATTAGACCATTTCCTTAGTGTGTGGTAATAAGAGACAGAAGCAAAGCAGCTTCTGAGTGCCTCTGTAAATCCACTTTCTATTTTAGGATTTAAAATCACTTTTGTATCGATAAGGGATCAGACTGTACTCTCTCACACCTTCTGTCTCTGTAAATGACAAGAGCTATAAAATACTATAAGTGTAAGATGCTCAGCTGCTATTTTTGTCAGTGTTTGACCAAAATGATTTGATATGGTAAGAAAATATGGAAGATATGGTAATGATTTTACCTTATGTTGATAATCATAGTTAGCAATCTAATAACCATTATCTGTTCTTCCAATTTTTACTAAATCCAAAATATGACTTAAAATTTTAATTAGCCAAAGAGTCAGTTTCTGACCATCATTCTTCTACTAAATAACTAAGCAACTGACTTAGAGTCGGTGAATTTAATGATATTTAGTTGTCAAAAAAACCTTCTAGTCTGTGTACACCTAAGATTTTGTGCTGGATAACCTCAGCAGAATTCC